CAAGGATACTGGAGTGGGTTGCCATTTCCTTCTCCAGGGGATCTTCCTGACCCAGGAATCGAACCCCAGGTCTCCAGCATGGCAGGCAGATTCTTTACCAACTAAGCTACAAGGGAAGCCCCAATTCCTTTATAATTAAGCTTCACAGAGACTTGCAATTTTCAGTGTGTCATTTGCTTATGACATAGACTCATTAATACAACATGGAGGATCAATAATACAACATGGAGTAATCAACTTCTGGCAGCAATCAACTTCTGGCAGCAATCTGGATTCTCAAAAGCATAATCTTGCCAATTAATGTGCATTTAACACACATACACCAGGAAACACTTTTGTTAAGTGACTCACACTGCAGAACTTATCCATTTATCTTTTTCAGAGCAAAACAATGTTTTCACACCAATAGCAATTTCAGTAGCTGATATTTTATTTCTGCACTCAGTCACTCAGTCATGTCCTGCTCTTTGTGACCCCATAGACTGTAGCCCACCAGGCTCTTGAAGCCATGGAATTTCCCAGGCAAGCATACTGGAGTGGGTTGCCATTTCGTCCTCCAGATCTTCCTGACCCAGGGATCGAACTCATGTTTCTTGAGCCTCCTGTGTTGGCACGCAGATTCTTTACCACTGCACCACCTGGGAAGCAGCTAATATTTTAGATTAACATATTGAGACCCCATGATATTTCTCTTAAAGGTTAGAACACTGGCTTTTCAAATAAAAATTTCCAACAAACTATCCATCTATTACTTAATTCTCCTCCAACAAATCCCCATGCTTCCTCTTACACACCTAAGTGCTCACATGTACTGGTTTCCAGTGACTGGGTCCTATACCTAGTCATTCACCTTTTCATCTAAGTTTTGACAGAGGGTTATTCTAGTTCTTTGGGTCTGTACATATAAGCAAACTGGGAAGAAGGGCTAATGAGAGCTTATCAGTCATAAAATAATAGGATCAACCAAACATACAGGGAATATCATTAATGCTATGTGGACACAAAAATATATACATATTAGACATGAAAGAAATACAGAACAGAAACAACCACAGAATGAATCACATCAACCACATGCCCAAAATCATTCAGCTAACTTATTTCATAGGCTGATAGTAGGGCATTGAAGTGAAGTGAAGTCACTCAGTCGTGTCTGACTCTTGCAACCCATGGACTGTAGCCTACCAGGCTCCTCCATTGGTCCATGGGATTTTCCAGGCAAGAGTACTGGAGTGGGTTGCCATTTCCTTCTCCAGGGGGAATCTTCCCAACCCAGGGATCGAACCCGGGTCTCCCATATGATAGCCAGACGCTTTTACCATCTGAGCCACCAGGGAAGTCTAGTAGAGCATTAGAGCTAACAGTATTCAGATTGAAGCTGCAGATGAAAAAGTAGAGTTAAGATCCAACCAGTCCATCCTAAAGGAAATCAGTCTGGAATATTCATTGGAAGAACTGATGCTGAAGCTGAAATTCCAATACTTTGGCCACCTGATGCGAAGAACTGACTCATTGGAAAAGACCCTGATGCTGGGAATGATTGAAGGCGGGAGGAGAAGGGGATGACAAAGGATGAGATGGTTGAATGGCATCACCGACTCAATGGACTTGAGTTTGAGTAAGCTCCAGGAGTTCATGTCGGACAGGGAAGCCTGGCATAGTGCAGCCCATGGGGTCGCAAAGAGTTGGACATGACTGAGTGGTTGAACTGAGCTGAGAGCTAAGTTTATGGGTTTGGGACTAAACACATGGAAGGATACCAACATGACAATAGTGGTTACATCTGAGGAGGAGGTTAAAAGAGAACATTCATTTTTTTTACTCAAGATGATTCTATATTATTTTTTAAGATAAACATGTAATCACATGTTACTTCTACAATTAAAAACCAAGAGGTAATAAGCCCATGAACCTATGGTCAATTGATCTATGACAAAGGAAGCAAGACTACACAATGTTGGAAAGACAGTCTCTCCTACAAATGGTGCTGGAAAAACTAGACAGCTACATGTAAAAAAAATATGAAATTAGATCATTTTTAACTCCATACACAAAAATAAGCTCTAAATGGATTAAAGACCTCAATATGAGACCAAACACTAAAAAACTTTTAGAGGAAAACACAGGCAGAACACTCTCTGACATAAATCACAGCAACATCTTTTCAATCCATCTCCCAGAATAGTGGAAATAAAAACAAAAATAAACAAATGGGACCTGCTTAAAAGCTTTTACACAGCAAAGGAAACAATAAACAAAACAAAAACACAACCCACAGATTGGGAGAAAGTAATTGCAAATGATGTGACCAATAAGGAATTAGTCTCCAAAATTTACAAACAGCTCATGATGCTTAACAGCATCAAAACAAACAACCCACTCAAAAATGGGCAGAAGACCTAAATAGACATACAGATGGACAATCAGCACAGGAAAAGATTCTCAACATCACTAATTATTAGAGAAATACAAATCAAATCTACAATAGCCAAGACATGGCAGCAACCTAAATTTCCATCAACAGAAGACTATATAAAGAAGATGTGGTACAATGGAATATTACTCAGCCATTAAAAAGACTGAAAAATGCCACATGAAGCAACATGGACAGATCTAGAGATTTTCATATTGAGTGAAATATGTCAGAGAGAAAAGGAGAAATATTGAATTACATCTCTTATATGTGGAATCTAAAAAGAAGTGATACAAATGAACCTACTTAAAAAACAGAAACAAACTCACAGACTCAGAGAAATGGAGCTTATGATTGCTGGAGGCAGGGAAAGATGGAGGGAAGGGATAGTTAGGGAATTTGGAGTGGACATGTACACACTGGTATATTTGAAATGGATAACCTACTATGTAGCACATGGAACTCTGCTCAATGTTATGTGGCAGTGTGAATGGGAGGGGAGTTTGGGAGAGAATGGTGGTTTTGTCATTAAGTTGTGTCCGACCCTTGCAACCGCATGGACTACAGCCCACCAGACTCCTCTGTCCATGGGATTCTCCAGGCAAGAATACTGGAATGGGTTGCCATTTCCTTCTCCAGGGGATCTTTCCCACTCAGGAACTGAACCTGGGTCTCCTGCACTGCAGGCAGATTCTTTACCAACTGAGCCATGAGGGAATCCCAAGACTACTGGAGGGTTAGCCAATCCCTTCTCCAGGGAAACTGACCCAGAAATCAAACCAGGGGCTCCTGCATTACAGGTGGATTCTTTACCAGCTGAGCTACCCAGGAAGCCCCTGGGAGAGAATGGAAACATGTTTATGTATAGCTGAGTCCTTTAGCTGTTCACCTGAAACTATCACATCATTTGTTTGTTAATCAGCTATACCACAATACAAAAATTAAAAGTTAAAAAAAAAAGAGGAGATGGAATCTCATAGGGAGAGAACATAAAGCGAGAAAAGGCAAAGAACTCAACCCACCCAAATATGAAGATAATTAGGGGACAGAAGGAAGCAAAAGCAAAGAAACAACAGCAGGAGAGGCAGGCAGAAAGAGAACTAGAAGAATACAACAACTCTGTGGCCAAGGGAGGGAAGTTTCAAAAAGGAACTGAACTGTCAACAGAACCAAAAAGGGAAAGAAGGGAGAAATAAGATGACAGAACAAAATCTAGATCTTAAAAGATTAAGCCTCTTAAAAGATTTAAGCCTCTTAAAGAGGCTGCTTAAAAATCATAGCCTTCTCCCTATATTATACCCTTCAATCTTTGAGAAAATTGAGGCCCAGAAAGGTTAGATGGCTGGCTAAGTAGGTATTAATAGCTAGATGGCACAGCAAAGAGAGACCACTACATGTTTATAGAGTCTACCAAATGGGTCCAGTGGAAAGAAAGAGAACATAACAGAAGAAAAGGGGGATAATTGGATAAGTGCTACCTGGAATGGACAGGAAGAGATGGGACTGAAGGCAAAAGCAAACAAAAATAAAACAACTTTTCCTCTGAAGCTGGATAACTTGTTCCCTTTTTCCACTTAAATTGTTGGATTAGGAGGTCAGGGGACTCAAAGTACTCAGGTTTCCCCAGAACCTCACCCTTGGTACATTTCCTCTCTCAAACTATACACACACCCTAGAAAACTTTTTACCATCTTTATGTATGTGTGTGTTAGCCGCTCAGTCGTGTCCAACTCTTTGTGAACCCATGGACTGTAGCCCGCCAGGCTCCTCTGTCCATGGGATTCTCCAGACAAGAATACTGGAGTAGGTTGCCATTCCCTTCTCCAGGGGATCTTCCTGACCCAGGGATCGAACCTGGGTTTCCTGCATTGGAAGCAGATTCTTTACTGTCTGAGCCACCAGGGAAGCCCCATCTTTATAAGAAAGACTCCCAAATCTCTATTCCAGTGCAAAGTGAAGTGAAAGTGTTAGTCACTGAGTTATGTCTGACTCTTTGCTGCCCTACGGACTGTAGCACTCCAGGCTTCCCTGTCCATGGGGATTCTCCAAGCAAGAATACTGGAGTGGGTTGCCATACCCTTCCCACAGAATCTTCCCAATCCAGGGATTGAACCTGGGTCTCCTGCATAACAGGCAGATTCTTTACCATCTGAGCCACTGGGGAAGCCCAAACCCTTTAGTAAGCCCCAAACCCGGCAAGATGAATCTCTACTTGGATATCTACAGGTATCTTAACTGAAATCTCCATCTCCACAGCTCTACTCCTGCTCGAGTGCTCTTTGTCTCAGTGGAAGGCCCCACATGATGAATGATATCAGGTAAATTATTGAACATCACCTCTCATTATATCTTTGTAAGTAAGGTGAAAAAAGAAACATTCACTGAATGACAATAAAGAGTCACAGCTGTTAGAACAGCCTTGCTCAGTAAGTATCCCTTGATGGCTTAATGTTCAAGTTGGATTTACAAAAGGCGGAGGAACCAGAGATCAAACTGCCAATATCCGTTGGATCACAGAAAAAGCAAGAGAGTTCCAGTAAAACATCTACTTCTGCTTTATTGACTATGCCAAAGCCTTTNTGGCTTCCCTGACTCCCCCTGTGCAAATGATGGAAAAAAAGTCACTATTGGTGAGGGAAAAAAATGACATGAACAAAGGAACCACTGATGCACCAGAAGTCTGGGTGGAAGAGGGTATGGGGGCAATGAGGGGCAGCAAGGATTAAGGCTTCCTTCACCACCCTAGGCCTGATGGAGAGAAGAAGGCATATGTTCGACTGGCTCCTGACTATGATGCTTTGGATGTTGCCAACAAAGTAAGCTTCCTTTGCTACAAACTCCTTAACACTCTCCCTTCCTGGGTGCAAATGATGTGTCTGTTAGTGACCAAAGCCTGACTTCGGTGATTAGTCTTAACTGACTGACTGCTACTCTGTCTTTTAAAAATACTGTGACATTCTCTCTTAATCTTCACATTTCAACTCCCAGTAACAGTTCCCTTTTGTTTTTCAGATTGGGATCATCTAAACTGAGTCCAGCTGGCTAATTCCAAATATAAAAGTTTTCACTATGTATATGCTTCTTGTCTTTATGTTGATTTTTGGGTGAGGGGCCATACTGTGGTACATAAACACTTAAGTAACCAGGAAAAAAAAAAAAACAACAGAGACATTACTTTGCCAACAAAGGTCCATCTAGTCAAAGCTATAGTTTTTCCAGTAGTCATATATGGATGTGAGAGTTGGACTATAAAGAAAGCTGAGTGCCAAAGAATTGATGGTTTTGGACTATGGTGTTGCAGAAGACTCCTGAGAGTCCCTTGGATTGCAAGGAGATCCAACCAGTCCATGCTAAAGGAAATCAGTCCTGAATATTCACTGGAAGGACTGATGCTGAAGCTGAAATTCCAATACTTTGGCCACTTGATGTGAAGAACTGACTCACTGGAAAACACCCTGATGCTGGGAAAGATTGAAGGTGGGAGGAGAAGGGGATGACAGAGGATGAGATGGTTAGATGGCATCACCGACTCAACAGACATTAGTGTGAGTAAATTCTGGGAGTTGGTGTTGGACAGGTAGGCCTAGCATGCTGCAGTCCATGGGGTAGCCAATGAGTCGGACATGACTGAGCAACTGAATTGAACTGAACTGATGGCTTACTGGTAAATTGCAAGTCTTCAATTATCCTCATTCAGTTTTATGCCGTGTGTGACAGACACTTGTAGGCTACCTCCAATAATTCCTACCTCCTGTTGTTTATGCCCTTGCCTTGAGTAAGGGTGGGACCTGTGACCAGCTTCTAGCCAACAGAATACAGCAAGGGTGATGGATGTCATTCCCATGTTTATTATGAGTCCTTCTTGCTGTGGTGACATACAGACTTTGTCCTTTGCTGGCCTTGATGAAGTGAACTACTATGTTGTGAAGTGCCCGTGACGAGGGTCATGTTGCAGGGAACTACAGGTAGCCACTAGGATGTGAAGGACTCAATCCTACAACCAACTGAAGAACTAAATTCTGCCAACAGGTATGTAGGCTTGGAAGAAGACCCCAAGGCCTCAGGTGAGACTTGTGGTCCCAACCAACACACTGATTACAGCCTGAGAGAATGAGCAAAGGACCTAGCCGAGCCATGACAGGCTCGTGAACCATGGAAACTGTGAAATAATACACTGAGTTTGTGGTAATTTATTGTACAGCAATAGAAAACTAATACACCATGCACTATTTTATTAATTACTTGGGTAAAGATATTCATGACATATGTACAATAATAATGCTAAAACTAACAGGATGAACAAGAAATAAAAATTTAACTACATTAAGGTTTAAGTAAAAGCCTAGACAGAAAGTTTATTGTAAATAAAAATATTTAAAAAGGAAGTGAGAAAGACAGACATACTTGGAGTAAGAAGTAGGCTTTGGGCTCATTATGAGCTCAGAGTAAGATGTAGCTGTGAAAAACTCAGTGTTACCTGAGGCCATATTAATAAGGCATAATGGACAATACAAAAGAGACAGTCCTACTATACCATATGAACTGGTCAAAACAAATCAATAACTTTCCTGGGTGCCTCTATTTAAGGCATTAGAAACATGAATGTTCCTGTCCCTCAAGTATTTTCCACTCTATATGGGGAGCTAATACAAACATTTTAAAAAGTTAAACCATAATAAAGAATTTAAACAGCAGCTTGAGATAATGATAGAAAAGATATTATAAGGCGGGTGTTAGAATTCATCTGACAATTAGTTAAAGGCAGTAACAGAGGCAGAAGTTCAGAAGAGGGAGATGAAACATCATTATCAATATTATGATTATTGTTTTGCCAATATAAGATATAAAAGTGAGTGTACTCACACTGAGATTCAATTTTACATTACTGAGCACAAGCACTCAAATTCTGAAATATGAAGGTTAAAAAAAAAAACATTCAGACAATCTATGCTATTTCAGGGGCTATTTCAGTTACAGGTAACACTACATTTTACAGATGAGTAAATACTGACAAAGGAGGGTTAAATAATTTGATTATAAACCAGTAAGTCAAATACAAGGAGAAAAAGTGGAAGCAGTGACAAATTTTATTTTCTTGGGCTCCAAAATCACTGGTGACGGTGACAGCAGCCATGAAATTAAAAGATGTTTACTCCTTGGAAGAAAAGACATGACAAACCTAGACAGTGTATTCAAAAGCAGAGATATCACTTTGCCAAAAAAGGGGACTATAGTCAAAGCTATGGTTTGGCCAGTAGTCAAGTATGGATGTGAGAGTTGGACCATAAAGAAGATTGAGCCCTGAAGAATTGATGCTTTCGAACTGTGGTGCTGGAGAAAGGCTCTTGAGAGTCCCTTGGACTGCAAGGAGATCAATCTGAAAGGACTGATCTTAAAGGAAGTCAATCTTAAAGGAAATCAACCCTGAATATTCATTGGAGGGACTGTTGCTGAAGCTGAAGCTCCAATATTTTGACCACCTGATGCGAAGAGTCGACTCATTAGAAAAGATCCTGATTCGAGCATCACTGACTCAATAGACATGAGTTGGAGCAAACTCTAGAAGGTAGTGGAGGACAGGGCAGCGTGGTGTGCTACAGTTTCACAGGGTAGCAAAGAGTCAGGCACAACTTAAATGACTGAACAACAAGTCAACTGTACTGAGAAGCAGATTTTCTCTTAATCTAGAAAGCTAATAAAAACTCCTATCATCTTTTTACGTTACAATGGCTACTTTTGGCTCATAATGTTTTTGTTAAATAATGTGAAATCTTGGGTTGTTCTTTACTCTGCTTCTCCCTCCAAAGTTGACCAGTAGCCAAGCTTTGTCATATCTTCTTTTGTGATGTCTCTCACATTTATCCTTCCTTTGGTGGTTCAGTCACTAAGTTGTATCCAACTCTTGCAACCCCATGGACTGTAGCCTGCCAGGCTCCTCTGTCCATGGGATTCTCCAGGCAAAAATACTGGAGTGGGTTGCCATTTCCTTCTCCAGTGGATCTTCCCGACCCAGGGATCAAACCCGGGTATCCTGCACTGCAGGCAGATTCTTTACCAACTGAGCTAGAAAAGAAGCCTCATCCTTCTTCCTTTAATTCTCCCAAATTAACATCTTATATCCAGGCCCTCACACTGTAGCAATCTCCTAACTAATCCTCTGCAATTCCAGTATCTCCTTTCCACCTGCCTGTCTTTCTAGGATGTCTGTTTCTTCTCCCAGTTTCCCCCTCCTTTATGTCTAGTCCAAGCTGGGGACACTTCTAACATCTTCTCTGATCATCAGCAATGAAAAAAATCTTCCTGTCTGTTCTCTAAGCATAACTTCCAGGTCTGGGTTCAGGCTCAACATAAAGCCACAGTACAGGCAGCTCCTCATGCTCTACAGTTTCTAGAACCAGAAACATCTCTCAAAAGTGGCACTCTCTCTGATTCCAGTCTTTCTATGCCCATCTTCAGCCTGAAAGTCCTTAGCCTTTCTCCTTTCTCACAATTGTTTCCATCCCTCCAGCCTCTGCCACCTGCATAATTACACAGACATACAATTATACATCCTAGAGTAAAACCTGTCTTGCTTTTTAATCCATTTTTAAGTCTTCTACCATTCATCTCCTGGCTAAAATTCCAAATACTTAAGAATCAGGTTCAGCCAAGACTGGATAGTGACTCTTGTCTCCACATACACACAACTGGGTGAGGGAACTATTCATGATACCAAATCAAGAGGACAGTCAACTGGGAGTAACTTTTACTTCTTGCAGCTCAGGCAAAAGCCTTCTTTTGCTGAGGAGAGAGTGGGCTAAAAATGAGCCTGAAGCATTTGAAGATTTAACTTAATCAAAACTTTATTATGCAAATACAGATAACTTAAATCTTCTCTGCCTCAAACATAAGACTATACTGGCATTCCTCCTCCATCCTTAAGCAAAAAAGCTTAAGAAATTGTAGTGTAACATTCAATTACAATATTTAAACAAGTGGAACAAGAACAACAGATATTTATTCAGACACTTAATTGTTTAATTGTGGCCTAGAATACAATTATTATGCAACTTAGGCATTAAAATATCCATGTATCAAAACTAATGACATAATTAAAATTGCTTCATCAAGAAAACCTAACAAAATCCTGATTTTCACCTAATTTTATCTCATTTTCTTAGTATTAAGCTTTAACAAAGCCACACCCACCCCCACCTCATCCCCCAAGCCTCCTGGTCATGATGATTCCCTGGTAGCTTTCAAAGGCCTTTGATTTGTCCAGACTCTGCCTCCTGTGCTTCAGACCTGACCTCTCACCTCAGCCACTATTACATCTTTCATTTCTTCATATAACAGTGTTAAGAAAAGAATCTAGTGACTATTATTAAAAGGCAGTATAGCTTGTTGTAAACAAGTCAAGCAATATAAAAGTGTCAAGTGAAAATGACAGCTTGGTCTTTATCTTTCTGGCTTACTTCGCTCTGTATAATGGGCTCCAGTTTCATCCATCTCAATAGAACTGATTCAAATGAATTCTTTTTAATGGTTAAATGGAAAAAAAAAGATTAAAAAAAAAAACAATAAATAAATAAATAAATAAATAAATAAATTATACAAGGGAAAAAAAAAAAAAGAAAATGACAGCTTGCAGCTAGCCATTCCTAATCTAAAAGAACTGATAACTGTTTCGTGAGTATCACTTCCAGAAGATGTCTATGCATATGTAAATTACTTATGCATATAAACTCAGATCTATCTAACCTATACCTCCCCACTTTGTTCTGCTGTACAGATGGGACCATACAATACCATTCTGCACCTTTCTTTTCCCAGTTAAAATCTATCTTGGCCATCTTCCCTCTTTTAAATGAAATACATTCCATAGTGTATATACACCATTATTAATGTAACTTGTCTCTCATGATGAACATCACAATTATCAACAATAATGGCAATAATGAGGCACCTAACATCGAGGTAACAAGTGGCTTTTGTGCAGTTTCTTTTTAGACTAGAGTCACTGGGACAAAGGGGACACATATTTTACATTTTGATAAGAACGTTCAAGCTGCCCTCCAAATGGGCTCTAACAACT